ACTTAAGCAATTGTGAAACGTATCAGTGTAAATGTGATTTCTCCTACTATTGATTAGTAGCAAAGCATTTGTGAGGTGAATCATAGGGTCTGTTAACTTAAAAATCACAGAATTTCTAAATTTCTAAAGGAGAGTTTTATTTCTTCTAAAGGGTTTCAGCCTGCAAGATTGCCATTCTGACTGGCTGGGAAGCATAGCCTCTGGCAGAGCCTGGAAACAGGCACTTGGACGGAGGGGAACAGGGATTTATGCTGAATGGGTTGGCCAGTATACGTATTCAACAGGTTATAAGAGGAGCTGTGAATATGCATGGTGGTAGTCCTAAGGAATGCACATTGAACAAACATGCATGATACATACTACTCATGTTCACCTTGGGGTGGAGTCTTAACATTTAAATATATTACAATTAGGCCCTATATGTCCAATGGACATAAGGCACTCAGGTGCACGGCCTCTGTAAACCGGCCAGAACCAGTCATAGTTGGTGGTCTCTTCTCAGGAGAAAGTTGTTGATGCCAGTCTCTTGTCCAGTTAAAGCTCTAGTTATGGCTTGTGGGACAGGGGGTCAGTTAGTCTGATGATGCACTGCAATTGTTTTAATATTGCTTATCTCAAGGCCAGTGCTTGTTTAGCTGCTAGAGAAAAAGAAAAATCTTATGGCAGTTAGAACGTGGTTTATTCTTTAAGCGTAGAGGTACATGACTTAACCCTTACCTGGCATGGCCTTAAGTCCTACTTATAATTTGGTATCTTATTGCCACAAAGAGTCTGTTCTGTCACTCTTAAGAGCTCTATTTTAACATTAACGCTGGTGAGTTGTGTCTAAACTGCAAAAGGAAGAAGGTATAAGGAGGTGTGTCTGACCTTCCATCCTGTCACGGACAGGAACTCAGTGTTTAAAGATTCTCTGGGGTCCCCTTGGCCAAGTGGTGGTCCGTTCAGTTGGTTGGGGAGGCTTAGGATTTTATTTTTAGTTTACAGGTTTTCTCCCCAGTCCTCAAGCCCTAGAGCGAAACCCACCTAGGTGTTTTTGGCAGCCTAACAGTTGATAGGATTTGGAGGACTACAGTAGTGTAGACAACCTCCCAGTATGCCTTGTGAACGAAAGTACTCAGAACAGGAATTTAGAGGCAGGAGGCTTTATTCCACTGAACAGTTTCCAAACCAGGGAGACCCAGCCAAGGGCGTGAAACAAAGGTATGTTCCAGAGAATAAAGGGTGGCTTCAGGTTTTATAGCAAAATTCCTGCCCAGGTTATGATTGAAACTCAGTTATGATTGGTTGAGGCAGGTGAGCTCTGGAAGTCTCATAGTTGAACCGTGTGGGTTTTGGGGGAACTCAGAGTACATGTGTGACCTCTAGTCAGCAAATGGCCCCTTTGCTTTATTTTAAATTTAGGCCCAGTTAGCCAACCAGGATCCATCTTGAAGGGTTGGCTTTCAGGTTCACGTTTGTTCACAGTCTGTACCAGGAAGAAATTTCTAAAACAGGAACATCGAATGTTGCTAACTCTTAATAGCTTCCCTCAGAACAAACTAACTCAAGCCCAGTGCTCCAGTGGCACGTGGGAGTTGCACCTGCTCCTTGCGGGTTAGGCTTTCTCGTGCCTTAAGCGCGCATCCCTTCTTCCCATCTCAGGCATGCAGCACTTTTCTTTCTTAAACGGAAGATATGGGCCTACTTCTCTGGACATTCCCTCACACTGTGAGGAAGAAAGTAACCCCCAAGAAGAGGCATCACAACCTTGCCCGGGCGCCTAGAGAGTCATGAACCGAGTCCGCTAGGTGGTGACAGGGGCGCGCCTGGAGCACGCTGGGAACGCGGGGCGGCGCGGCCTGGCCTGACCCGGAAGGGCTGGTGCTGGTAACCCCGGCTTCCCTAGCAACCAAGCCGGCGCGAGCAACAAGCTGCCACGCCATCGGCTAGTGCAGCTCCAGCGATGCCCCTGCAGGTTAGCGATTACAGCTGGCAGCAGACGAAGACTGCGGTCTTCCTTTCTTTGCCCCTCAAAGGGGTATGCGTCAGAGACGCGGACGTGTTCTGCACGGAAAACTATCTGAAGGTAGGAACGCCAGTCTTGCCTGCGGGTCTGGGGGGTGTGGTGCGAAACTTCTGGGAGAGCGCGGCTGGGCACGCGCAACACATGCGTCCTTGCAGATAGGCGCCCTAAAGTTTTAATCTTATTTTCAAAAAAACGAATCCCATACGGGTGCCATCTCATCTGTAGACTGCTCATCAGATCAGGGATTACTTTTACCCAGAGCTTCCTCATGTGCCTTTCTAATCTTTCGCTACATGGAATAAATGTAGTGAGCCTTTTAGAAAATTATTTTGGCCTTTATCACACATTTCTTAATACGTGTCTTTAATTTATGTATCTAACTTAGTTTCCGTTTTCACCCTTCCGAATAGGTCAACTTTCCTCCATTTTTATTTGAGGCATTTCTCTACGCTCCCATAGACGATGCAAGCAGCAAAGCAAAGATTGGGAATGACACTGTTGTCTTCACCTTGTATAAAAAAGAAGCAGCCATGTGGGAGACTCTTTCTTTGACAGGTGGTAAGTTCTTTATTAAAAGATGTTCATCTGGTTGTGCTTTTTGTGTTTTAGACCTTTTAAAAAACTTCTCTTTTGAAATGACTGTATTGTGTAGGGAAAGACAGACTTTCCCTTTACTCTCCTAGGTTCAATAGTTAGGTCTATGAAATAAACTAACAACAGGTAGATTAAGAGGAAAAATGTATGCAAATTTATTAATTTTTAATATTAGTGCTTGGAGGCTTCACAGGAAAAAAAGTGAATATCCTAAAAAACAGTGAAATTTGAGAGCTTATATATCCTCTCTTAATGGTAGAAGGGGTGTATGTGTAGGCCGCTTAAGATACTAAATGATTTTTAGGAAAGATCAATGGATCCTTAGAAGAATAGATAGGAGATATGATAGTTTGTAACAAAGTTTTTCAGACTGTGGTGTCAACCTCTGGTCCCCTCTCCTGTGATTAGAGTCAATGTTCCCTGGTTAGGGAAACTCCAGGGGAAGGGATTTATGACAATAGAGTTCCTTTTAGAAAATCTGTTTTTAGGCAGATAAGAGGAGTTCAGAGAAAGCCTCTACGTGCATTTGCTGTTTTTCAAGTGCCTTCAGCTCAAGATAATCAATATATCAAAGCAGCATATTTGGGGGTGGCATGTCCTGAACTCCTTCAGTTGCTCTTCTAAGAAAAAAATAGGCACATGAACTTAATTTAAATGAGATAGTGCTTCAGCTGTCACGTAAATAAGCCTAAAGATTGAATTATTCAAAGTTAGAGCACATTTAGCAAAAGATGTGAGCTTGTATCTTAGGCGATGAGCTCTCCTGAGGCAGCCTTTATT